GTCTCACGAAAAGCACATGCAGCAGGTGTACAGATAAGTACGCAGCCACGCCAGCCCCAATTCCGCGATATGGACAGTAAAAAAGGAAGATTTTTTCCCCGTGGCAAAATAGGACACCTCTCTCCAGTGATTACATACGAGTCTGCGTTTTGTTTGACAATGGAGGTGATTTCTGACAGCCACCCCTCAGATAAGGGCGGGGATTAAAGATATCAGAAAATTTTCGGGAAATCGGAACGGTCTGTGAGTACAGCATTATTTCAAACCTGGCAGGCTGGAGGTGGAATTGTTCTAGTAGGATGGAGCTAAAGGGCTCTATGTAAGGAAGAACGCACAGTCCGATACCCCTGTGAAATCCTATTGCCCCACAAAATCGAACAATTAAAAATATTCCGGATTCCACAAGGAAAGCTAATTTTGTGGGGTCAAAATCCTGTAGATACCGTTCCCACAACTAACCTGAGCGCCGAAGTTTTCCACTTGTTTATAGTAGGTGTCCACTTCTGCGATGGTCTTCTTCTGTGCATCATTGGCCATTGGCTCGAGCATCTGAAAATGTTTTGTTCAAATCAAAGGGTGCGTTTCTAGCGAATAAACGAAAGGGGAGTTAAAGACCTGAACGAAACACTGCGGTTAGTAATGTAAGAGAACGCCAATAAGGACAATAATAACGACAAATAAATGAAATAAATAAATAAATACAGGCGCAAACATCCTTGGACGGGCATTCGAACGACGCCTTGTAAAACTATATCTACCGTACACGAGACAGACAGGACATGTTCTACCGTTGTGGAAAAACTTTTCAAAAGGCGACCCCCTTCCCGCAAAAATTCTTCACCTGGTACGACCTCTACTTCCTCATCCCTCAACAGAGAACCGAGAAAATCAACAATTGAAAACCATTTTTCTCCGTGGCAAACACAACTCTGCCTCCAACAACCATATAAGACCCCTCCCTCTCTCTCTCTCTCTCTTCGCTGGGAATATTCAACGTGCGACGTATCCTTTGTGGAGGTAAACGATTTTGCCCATACCTAAAGGGGGGAGGGACTCCAGGATAGGTGAATCAGTTTCAAATGCGGCGCTTCTCTTTAGATGTAACCCCGCGGTTTGTACAAGGAGTCCTACAAATGCCCCCTCCGAGGTTATTAGCGCCAAAGTAAGCAAGTAAGGAACTGAATATTTCTGCAGAAGTCGATATAAAAAGTTCTGCGTCTACAACCACGTAATTTTCGTGTCAACCAATCAATATGCACAGAATACATTACCCATACAAAAATCCACATTACCTTTGCTTTCTCCTTGATTGCCAATAGGAGATCCTTCACTCGGTTAATGTTTCTGTCGAGCTCCTGAAACATTAGACTTAAGGATACTCAAACAACTCATTCAAACCACATTTTTGGCGAATCAGTGACTCTATTTTCATGCAAAAAATCATCGAAATTTAAATAATCCGGCTGCAATTCATTGTTAATTTTCTCGTCTAATTGAGAGAATCTGCCAAAATTAGAGAGGCGATCTTCTAGATGCTACTTGGGGACTGACAGAAACTACTGGCGAATAGGCTCACCGATTGATTTCCAGCAAATAGGTCTTTAACACTGTTGAACTGCTTCGAGAAAAAGTCGCCGACATCACTGGCCAGACCTGAAATACATCTTTACTCATACTGGATTTTAGTCTCTTAATTTAAATTTTCTCAATTCAAATAATTTAAGAAAAATAAGACAAAAAATAAAAAGTGAACAAAGTCCATGACACAGAGAGAAGAATTATCAACTTCTTGTCAGTTCCCCTTTGGGATGCGCCGCGCATTCTATTTTCATCAAGGGTCGCAGCGATACTTCGAATGCAAAAGATCTATGCAATTAGGGAATGTTACCGCGGAAGCCGTGGATGGTCCGGGACAGAGTCGACCCGAAATACGACCCCTGGACTGTGAGCGTGGCATGCGGAACATGTTCCAGTTCTTCATCTAGAACGCTATAAAGTAATGACTACTGTCTAATCAAGGAAGGGCCCAAACAATAGGTCAATAGTCGGATAGTCGCGCTGTTGTTGGATGAGATAAAGGTAGAACTCTACTAAAACGGACCGCTTGTCACGTTCAACGGAAAGGACTAGGGCCATGTGAACTCCCGTCTGGCTTTTTTGATCTTAGCATTTAATTTGCAACTTATTCTTTGGCTGATAAAGTAACTTTTATTACGCGAATGCCCACTCCTCCTCTCCGCGTTAGGCTGAGGGATACAGGAGAGTTGCTAATCTCCAAGTAAGTGAACAGCTGGCACACCATCAGGACCCACAAAGTTCACTTAGAGGCTCTATTTGCTTTAGTATGCTTTGCGATTATTGATATGCATTTGCCTTTTTCTTTTCAGAAGCACTGTGTGGTGAACCTTCCTTCTCACCCTCCTCGCTCGACGGCATTTTATTGGGGGAAACTGAAGGATTTTCGGACAGCGGACCGAGGGTTGGTAGGAGGTCGCGGAAATTTCATAAAGATGGTAGGAGGCATTGACAGTAGTGGGATGTACTAGAAGAAGTTTGTGAGAGAGGGTCGTCTTCTGCCCAAAATTTTTTGCCCGGACGGCAGGACATGTCAGAGAGCGCCACTTGGTTCTGACAGCCTCTTTCATCTATACTAATTCAGATATATGTTTCGCTTGTTTGACTTTCTTTTCCCATAAAACCTGCAAGCAAAGCCTTTAAGCGGAATTAGATTTTGGAAAATGAACAGGAGCCCGGAAAACTCTTTTCATCTATTCGCAGAGCCCCTGTCATTTATGGATGACTGACACTGGCGTTTCGGCGAAGAACGCATGCTGCAAAAGGCGGTTCGGGCTCGTTCTTTTAGTCCTTAACGAACCTTTCTAGTACGGGACTGTTTCGGCGAAATAGCTGGGCGCGTTGAGTGACAGAATGAGCAGTGCCCTCTGCAATTCACAATTTGAAACCCCTCATTTGCTTCCGTCAGCTAACCATTCCAACCGCTGTCAGCAGTGCTAAATGGCGAGAAGGGCGCCCAAAGGGTGGAAATTCAGTTCAATTCAGAACTTCTGGCCCACCAGTTCTGAAAGATTCCATCTGACTCTATTAGGCCAGATAGTATCTCCAACTAGTCCCCTCTTGAAAATGTCTGAAGGAAGGCACTTTCACCAGCCAAATATTCTAAACATCTCTCGAAGAGATCCTGATTTCATGTCTCCAACTTTTAGCCCTACAAAACAGCCTACCGCTCGTACATACCATTATCTCAGGGATTCTGTCTGTTTTCAAAAAATAGTTTTATTACGCTGTTTTCGATTTTTTTTTTGCCTTTATGACTTCTGGCTCCCACTCAGTAAGAAAATTCCGAAATACGTGCAAAGTGAAATTCGTGTGGAGTGCACGATTCTGAGCGATAATCGTATTGCAGTTAAAGTAAGACCGTAGCGAAGGGCAATCGCTAGCTGAGGATCGTCGAAAGCGAAATAGGAACCGGTTCTCAGAATTCCTTGAAATGTTTGACTGGAAGTGTTTTTTGGGCTCATGAAATCTTCTCGATGGGGGCTGAAGTAGCTAAAAAGGATTGAAAAGAACCCTGGAAAGCAGTTGAGCAATCATTGGAGCCTATAACAACTTTGATGACCGGACTACTATTGGAGACCAAAAGTAGAGTGGACTTCCTCCTGAGTGACTAAGGGTGCACTTTTGAGCAGGTTTTTTTTGAATCAGCGCAGTAAAAAAGTTGCGCTGTCATGATTACGGTATAAAAATTCAGGGATGAAAGGATGAAGTCTTCTCCTCTGGTCGTTTTTCAAGTACGGCAAGCATTGCACTTCCATTCACATACATAGTGACCCAGGCCTATACAACGACTGGGAGGGAAGAGAG